TTTAAACCGTCAAACTATAGAAATACAAAATGCATTACATAAATTTTTTATTTATTGCAATCATTTTCAATACCAAGTTTGAAAAATAGATATTATGTTATATTGATTTTTAAAATTTTAATATTCGCTTTTAGATTTCATTTTTTTTATTCACTGATAGTCATAAAAATGGAATTCAAGTGATTGTAATTAATCATAAAATGCTAAGAATACCTTTTACACTCATAAATATGATATCATTTGTAGATTTTATTTAAGAGAAATATTGATATTATTATTTTATCTAGCTGTTTTACTTTTAATCTTTAATCTTTAATTATGGAAAATACATGTGATATAAAATAATTATAAATATTATGGCAAATATATCTATTATATTACCTATTATATATTAATTCTTGATATACTTAATAACTTCAAAAATATCATAAAAAACATATAATTCTTATTATTATATTGTTATATCATAATGTAAACTATATCATAATGAAAACAATGTAAAGAATGCATAAGAAATTTGCAATCTTTTTTGAATTATTTTATTGTTGCAGACACCAATGACGAAGTTATATATATTTGTTTTAAATCATTTACAATAAAATTCTCATATAAAATTTAACTTGGTAACTGTTGTCACATAAGATAAGAAATCGCGAAAAATAAAATTAAATTTTTTAAATTAAAATTATATTAACAATTTATATATAGAATTTATATCAGGCTTTCTTAAAAATAATTAAAGATATAAAAAAAAATATGATTTTCAATTGAATCAAAAATACAAATTGATAGTTTTGTTTTAAATTTTGTTTTAAAGAGAAATTGTAACTTATTTTTATTAAAAAATTAATATTATAATATTATTATATTAATATTATAATATTATAATATTCAGTAAAATAAAGCAAAATCTTTTATATAACATCGAGAAAATTATCGAATTTGTTGAATAAATTAAAAAAAATATTAAAAGATTATAGAACAAATAATAATAATTGTATTTATTAATTCTATAAAAAAAATGATTCACATTGAATCAAATTTTTTTAGATATATCAAAAAGAAAAAAAAATTTTAGATTATAAATCAAATGATAAATTTATATACAAAAGATTATTTTAGAATACATTTCTTCTTGAGATTTTAAAAGAAATTTTTACTAGAAAAGGTTATATACATATACGTTACATAAAATTTACGTTATTAAAAAAAAAATGATGAAATATTTAAAATTATTCGTATAATATTAACACATTTAAATAATGAAAGAACAAAGATAACTATATTAAATTAATGTATAGATTTATATTTAAAATTATAACAAATGATAAAAATTTAAACGATTCTAATATTTATAACAATTTTTTTTTTAGAAATTAAAAACTTTAGAGTGCTTTGTAAAAAGAGATATATTTTGATTTATTATATTTTTTATAAAAATAATTTATAATAATATTCCGAATACTTTTTAATCTGAATATATTATAATCATTTTAAAATTTATATATCTCTAAGTACGATAATTTCAGAAGAAAAAATTATTTGAAATTTAAAAATAATTAAAAATTATTTATGTTCTATTATATGTATATCAAAAAAGTTCAACAAATTTATTTATAATTATTATAGAAAATGATATTATATAATAATTATAATTATATATTAAAATTATACTTACACTTAAAAATTTTCTAATAAACATGATAGAATAAAAGAAATAAATTTTGTAATTTGATATGCTTTTTTTAATTTCTTAACTAGGATACTTAATAATATATTTTAGTAGGATATAGATATAATAAAATGTATAAATAATATATTTGTAAAACATCTAGAAGAATCAATTCTAGATTTATTAAATTATAATATATATAATTAATAAATGTATTGGAAATAAGATAGAAATAAAATGAGATGACTCCGTTTTTATTATCATACTTTACTATTGTCATACTTTCCTCTTCTTATTTCACTTAATTTAATGCAAAATTAAATTACCTAATTAATAAATAATATATTATATAATTTTTATATTTATTTTGATCTTTATCCACGAATATATTAATTGTTTTATTTTTTTATACATACATTATATATTCTTCATTATATTTATATTTACTCATTTATATTTATATTAATATTAAATAAAAATATATTTATTATATAAAAATATTTTTTTAATTATTTTTATTAATTTTTAAGGACAAAAAAAGATTAAAATTTATACAACAATGGCTCATGTATATATGGCAATTGTAATGGAAATGAAAAGAAAAAAATAATAAAAAACAAAAATAAAGAGAAAGAAAGAAAAACAATTTACAACAGTTAGAGACTATTACAATATAATTTGATGATCTCGTGCGTCGTTTTCTCGAACCGTGTTTGCGGTGGCGCCAAGCATGCAACCATTCCTCGCGCACGTTCCTCGCTCATGTTAGCATTCAATGCGTAGTCCGGATTATTCTATGCTATGTATTGTACTTTACCTATTACGCATATATTGCATCGCGTTGTATGCATACAGTTCAATTCTGGAGAAACGCCGGATATTCTGATATTTGAATGTTACAGAATTATCTTTATAGATCAATATCTCTTAGTTTCTAAAAAATTCTGTTAGAAACTTTATAGACTTTAAATCGGATAATTTTTTTTTTTGGTGCTATAATACTATGTATCTTGCTTTTCGATGATTAATTATCAGTTTTTTATTTATTTAAATTATATTTACATCATAAGTCGATTGATGAATAAGTTGATCTCAAGTAAATATTAACAAATATTAATTTAATTAATCTTTATGTATTTACTATTTTTAATGTATATATTTATATTTATAATATATCATGTATTTATTAATTTTTAAAAATTCTCAATTTTATTCATTATTTTATTATTTTGTGATTAATGCATGAAAAAATTATTCAAGTTTTTTAATAGCAATATTTTCTTACTGACTTAAATAAGAAATGTCACTGACTTAAAATTTATATGACTTAAAATCATTTGAAAGTATATACATAAAAGTATGTACTTATTTAATCAAAAAATTATCAAAAAATAAAAGCCTTAAAAATAATCATGAATAAAAGTTTACTCCAGCAAATATTATTTTAATTTTTTGATTTTGAGAATTCTACGAAATTATTAAAAAAATTTTATTAAAAAAATTAAACTATTTTAATATTTTTTTAATTTTTTTAATGATAGCTTTTATAAATTAAATTAAGATATCAAAAAAATACAAATAATATAATTTTTTTTAAAAAATATATATTCATTAAGATTTCAAAATTTATAACAAAATTTTCTTTACTTTTTATGACACATATTGCTTAAACATCAATTTAACAATTAACAATATGAATTAATAAACTTGAAAATTATTAAAAAAAACTTGAAAAATAAAATTATAATTAAGTTTTTTATCTTTTTAGAAATCCATTTTATTTTTTCTCTATATATTTGTCTTTGTATATCATAGGATTTCTATATTATCATAAAACTATATTATTCTATTAACTATATTATTCTATATTATCATATTGAAGATAATTGAATTAGGATGTACTCAGGATAATTTATGCGATCGCACCTTATATGTTTTTATATATTGAATGATTTATTAAGTGCAATGTGTGGAAGGCATGTGGCAAATGACTATGTAAATGACGATAATATTTTACAGATAATAATTAGTGACGTATTTCTCGCCAATATATTCAATCATTTTAACGAGGGTAATTACTGACAGGATCATATATTCACAATCATAAATTGAATTTTACATTCCGCGCAATGCAAATGTATGACGTAATGATCCAGGCTCTTCTGATGGATATGAAATGTCTTCTTCACTGGATAAAGGCGCCTTTTCTATTAAAGACGTCTCTGTTTCTGGATTATTCCATGTAATAAAGAGAATTTCCGATTCAGAATTTTTCATCTAGATATTTTTATTGAATCATGTTATTTAAAATAAATTATATTAAATTATATATAAATTTTCTCTCATTCTTATTGAGAGAATAATCTATCATTAAATATTCTTGATCACTTATTGAAAATATAGATTTAATTTTGTCTATAAAAATATATTATTGTAAATTTTTTTTTTCAAAATAACATTACCAGTTATAGTTGTCAGAAATACAATTCTCATTTATATGTAAGAGATCATGAAAGAGAGCGTAAATGTCTTAATCTTCCTAGAATTTTAAATGATGTTGATGTTTCAAGGAAAATCGTGAAACAATTAGTCATTTTGAAAAAATTAATTTTAATTTTCATTTTTTTTTTATTAGTTAAACAGAAGTCATAAAAATTATTATATTTAATATTTATATTTAATATTTTTGTAAAATAATTCATAATGATGAATCATTGTACATAAGTGCATAAAAAATTTAAAAATACGCAATATGATATAAATAAGAAATGTGATTTTGTTATATATATTTTTTATACTCATTGTTAATTTCATATATTATTATTTAACAGAAATAATTAATTCTTTATATTTGATATAAGACAAATTTTTTTAATAATTTCGTAGAATTCTCAAAATCAAAAAATTAAAAAATATATATATAAATATTTTCTATAGATATATCGATGATAATAGTTTATATTTTCATAAATCATCTAACGACTGACCATGCAATAAATATAGCATCTATTTTAATTTAACGAAAAAATTTCATTTAAAAATTTAAACCAAATTATTATTTTTTTATCTATAAATTTTTATTTCTTATAATATTTATTTCTTAAACATTATTAATTGTAATAACAACTTTTTTAATATTTTTAATAAGAATTCGCTTAATAAAAATTAAAATTAGAATAAATAAATTTTAATCAATAAAGAATTTTGATAATTGAATTAAAAAAAATTATTACACATTCAATATTATTTAATTAATAACATTAATATAATATTTAACATTTTATCTTATATATTGTATGTATCATATTATATGTGGATTGTATTTTAGGAGGAGTGTAGGAAAAGGATAGCTGAGTGCACAATGAATGACGGTGCAAGTACACCGGTATGTGGGAGTGACGGTGTTACGTATTCGAGTCACTGTCGGGTCATCTCGAAGCAGTGTCAAGGCATGTCTATTCTTATCAAGCATATTGGCCCTTGTCCAGGTAGGATAATGCATTTTTCTTGTAATTATGTTTATAATTATATATTTATAATATTATATCTTTGTTATTATTTTCTGATTATATTTTCTGATTATATCAGAAAAATTTTCGAATGATTATTAAAAATTAAAATTAAAATTAAAAATTATAATTCCAATTGAAATTTAAAATTCAATTAAAATTTCACATTTTTATCTCTAAATCTAATATTAAAAATAATTAAATAATTAAATTAAAGAAGCATTTATTTTCTAATTTTTTTCTGAAAAAATATGATTCTTTTATATCATACTTTATGAATAAAAGAAAAAGAAAGAAAAAGAATTTTAAATCATTATAAAATATTATAAAGAATCAAAATATATTTTCGTTCAAAAGTTTTAAAATATAATAAATATTTTTTTAAAAATTGAGAGAATTTTTTTAAAAAATGAAGAGAATTAGAAAATCAAATCAATTTTATTAGTTCAATTATTCATAATTGAGGACTATATTTCTTAAAAAGATAAAATCAAAATATAAATTACGTGTAAAGTTAGATCGTAAAACTAGTTAACTCATAATTCGAGAAAAAAAGGATACAACGAGCTGAAAATGGTCATTCATCTACATTAGTTAAACATAATGAGTTGAGACATATTTTGTGACTCCAGGATTTACTGTTCGACGACGAAACGTCGTTTTTAGACGACATAAATACATAAAAAAACATAAATAAACTTTCTGTTTTATGTATTAAATTTTAATGAATTTATCATAAAATTAAAATTTATGATCAAATATTAGAATTTTATTAAAAATTAAAGATTTTAAAGATATATTTTTTCTTACTTTTTTCTTTTATTTCTCTTTTAAAAGTTTTTTCTGTTTCAAAATATTCGTTAAAAATAAAAAATTATAAAATGTAATAAGAATTTAGAATATCAATTGAATTTGTTTATTTAGAGACACCGGCGTGCTTTTCCGCAAGATTGACCGCTAGACCAAGTGCACGACCAATCTGTCGTTCGGATGGTACTTATGCACCAGTGCAATGTCACGAGGAAACCGGGTATTGTTGGTGCGTGACACCACAGGGCAGACCGCTCCCTGACACTTCAGTAAGAAACGAAAGACCAAGATGCATAAAAAAACTCGGTCCCAGATCTTCTGCGTCCACTAAGAGTGGGCAACGAAGACGTTCGCCGAATTGGAAACAACGAAGACAATATAACAGTAAGCATAGGAATACATGTGATCGGACAGAAAAATCCAAGTTTAACGGAAACCTGATAGAAAACTTCAAAATCGAATATAGGCGAACAAATATTTCTACCGATGGTAAGAGTACATAATATTTAAGAAAATAGGAAAATATATGTTATGTTTTTCTAAAATTTAAATGTTTTTAATGAAAGTATTAGAAATATTTTCAATATATTCTATGTATTTCTACGATTTCTTATTGAAGAAATCAAATATTCTTATCAAAAATTATTAAATCTTACTAAAATCTGTGTTGTTAATTGTGCAATTTCAATATATTTTTTTGCAATTACATTTTTTTTTATTTTCATTTTTTGGATATCTATATTTTTTTTTATTATTATTATTAAATGAAAATTAATTGAATATAAAATTATAACATACATAAATATAATTGTAATTTTGTTATTTCGTTCTGTAAAATGAAAATATTGTACTTAGAATCTTTTTTTCTTCTCTTCCTAAGAATTATCATAAAATATGTTGATAATCTAATATTTTTAGTATTTTCTAATATTTTGAAGCTTTTCTGAATGCTACTGCATATTGTAGTTTTAAACTATTTATTAACTTGTTTTTGTTTTTTTTTATTTCATATTATATTTTCTTATTAAATCTAATTTTATTATTAATATTTTACAAATAGGCGATAAAAATGTAGAACGAGTACTATCATGGAAATTCATTACATTGGATAAGAATGGAGATGGCTATTTGGATAGAACGGAATATAAAGAATTGAGAAGGCTGGCGAAAAAGGCAGTAAAACCGAAGAAATGTGCTCGCACGTTCGCCCGTACGTGTGACCTAAATCGAGATTTGAAACTCTCTAGGCAAGAATGGGGTGCCTGTCTTGCGAACGACTTCACTCGTAAGTTTAAATATGATATATATGCATTTCATATAATAAAAAAAAAATTTTGAAGACTTTTTTTCGATTCGATCTTTTCGGTTTCATTTGCACGATTCAACGATTTTCTTTCCTTTCATCGAAGTTAAATGATCATTAATGAAATAAATATATTTACAATTAATATAATATTTTCCTTTTTTATTATTTTTTTAGAGATTTTCATATAGAACAACATTGTTGAACTCAAAAATATTCTATTTGAATTACAAATATTATTAACATCTCTTTTTGAGTAGATTTGAAGTTCTCAAAGTTATAATGGAGATTGCATAAATCAGTTTTAAATTCGTTGATATTTGCGAAGTGGCGCCACACTATTGCATCACAAAAAATCTGTTCTAAAATCTGTTCATCACTTCGAAAAATTAAAACAAACATTATGACTCTCTTTTAAAAAAAAAAATTATTTTGTTATAAATAATTAAAAAAATTTCATTGAAAGTATGCAAAATTTAAAAAAATTATTTATTTTTATTTAAAAAATAAGATATATTATAATATAATAATATATCATAATTATTCGAGATTTTGAATTATTTTATATAATTTTATATATATATATATATATATGTGTGTGTGAGACACAAGAAAAAAGAAGATAAAATTCAAAAAAAATCCTTTCAAAATTTCATTATATGGTGTTTTTCTTATATGTATTATAAAAAAAGGATCTAAAATCGTTTTTTATACAAAAATTTAAAGCATGATATTAATCTTGATATACGCTATGTATATGATAAATAAGACTTATTCAACTTTGTAAATAATTATAAAACTAAAATTAAAACCACTAAAAGAACATAAATACTTGGACAGGCTTTTTATTATGATAGTAAATTGGGATTAATATCATTATCTGTATTTAATATTATTTAATGTACGTTAATCTATTCGCGTTAATTTATTTGCGTGCCATTGCAATCAAGTAATTACTGCGCATGATACTTTTTTTTCCTTATTTCCTTGGTAAAGGCTGCTGGGTTGCTTTTAAATCTACATAATTCATAGATCCATATCAAATTCTGAATTTTTTTCTTTTCATTACAGTAATTTTAGAAAAAAAAATAAGACATGTAAAAAGATCTAAAAAGTATAAATAATTAAAATTAAATACGAATTTATTATATTATATTACTTTGGTTAAATTATTGGCACAATGGATAATTTATTATTTATTTTACGGATCAAACAAAATATCTCTTATAAAATATAATTTATTCAATAATAAATATAACAGCGGATTTTTATGTAGCGTTTTATCAGTGTTTGAACAGTATTCATCTCAAGAATGAATTTATTAAAAAAAAAATTATTTCTTATATTTATAAAAAAAATAATATATTTAGCCAGTGAACATTAAGATTAATTATTTGTAAAATGAGTTTATACAGGAAAGAATATTTATTCACGATAATTTTCTTTATTTCTTTTGAAATTATGTTTGAATTAATATAATTTAAAACAATATATAGTATCAATTATTTCTATGATTGAACTTGATTAATCAATTTAATTTATGTATTATTATATTGATAGAAAAAAATATATAAAATAAGGGGAAAAATTTAATGATAGCTAAAATATAAAACTACTGAATCGCAAAGGATTCTAAAATATCTAGATATAAATTACATCCATAATTGTTGATAGTTTCAATATATTAAAGCATTCCTTTTAAAAAATAAATTAATATAATAAAATTTTTTGTTATTATTTTTTTATGATATTTAATGATACTAATTGATAATAATTATCAATTTATCAATTTGTTTC